ATTTTAGGGAGGAGCTGTTGTTAATGAGAAAAAAATATTAGATAAATGCCATGTAAAAAGAATAAAAAAAGAAAAGAAATTAAGATGAAAGATGTAATATTCATTTTTATCCTATTTTCTACATGGAGATTCAAATTGAATTATATAAATGAAAAAAATAGCTATCATGAGAAATTCATAAATATAATATTGGAGAAAAAGAAAAAGTAAGTATTCAAAATTAAATTTCATGGATCATATTTTTCATTTATGATGAATTATTTATGAGAATATATTTTCAAAAGATTAACTATTATATAATAAATTCAATATAAATTTATAGGATAACGAAATATTTATTGAACATATTAGCAAATATAATTATTCAACATTTAATGAAGTCAGCTATGCATTATTCCTGTTCATATTGAGTTACTTCAGTTAAAATCTGATGATACAGTATATACTATTCATTAAAATTCACTCTCAAAATATACTCGTATCACATTTTAAAAAATCTAACCAAATCTTTTCATCTCGAATAACAATAGGATTTTCGAATAATGAATGGAAATATAATTAAACGAGTATAATATTTCTTACATTTACAATAAATATGGATTATTTATCGAATATTGAATTCCTTGTTGCATATTATATCATAAAATATAATTAAAATTTGCAATTCAGAATTTATTATCATTTAAAATGAGAAAACTTTTCTATTTTCTTTCTCTTGTTTATTTTCATTCTTTTTAAATATTTCCATTATAAATAAACTATATCAAATTATTCGAAATGTAGCAAACACTTAAAAATAATCATTTTCATTGAATTCTTTTTATGAATTTTTTTTAATAATCAATTTATTTCTCAACAAATAATTCTCATCATATAAGAATAATTTTTCTACAACTTCTAAAAAAATTTAAATCGCTAAAAAAATATCCCACAAAAAATTTGTCTCTCATCGTAATGCTTAACTTTTCAGATAATACTTATACATAACACTTTTACAAACTTTTCCTTGAGAAACTTTTTCCTTTTTTTTTTTTTTTTTTTTTTTTATATATATAGAACGTAGATATTTAAGCGTCCTATTTTCTATTTCGACTCATCCTCCGTGTAAATTGTCGTATCTCGACCGAAAGATGGAACAAAATATCTGAAACTCGATAAAAAAGTTTCGTGTCGAGTACTACTTCAAAAATGATCAACCAGCAATTTTTTGCCTCGAATTAAATTATTGCAATTTGAGACGAGTTTCGAGATCCATATCTCGATGTTTGCTTTCGTCCCTCTATGATATACTCTATGGATTTATATTAAACCCATCGTGCATAAAGAAAATTGCAAAACGCAACATTGCTTTCGATTCACTTATCACGAACAGTGCATAATGTCATGTACACGAGAGCGAAGCTCATAGCTAGTTTACGCTTCGCCAGCCTCAAAGGTGATTGCTCGCTCTTCTAGAAAGCAATAAATGAAAGGTAAAAGGCGCGTGTATCACGAGCGCGACTTCGAATCATTGGATTTAATTCGCTCACGATTCCCTCTTTTCCATTCGTCTTGATCGGATTTAGTTCCATAGTTAAGTGGGTCGTTTGGTAAGTCGTTGAACAGTATGATGTAGTCTGACGAGAGTAAGTCGTATGTTTTAAGTGATCTTAACACGAGCGAGGTATATGGAGTAGAATTCTAATGCATTTTCATGTCTTGTATCTAGGGAGTTATTATTTTGATATCGTTTTAAGTGTTTAATCGGTTCGATACAATATAATAAAGTTAGAATATTGATAATGGACTCGAAATGAATTTTTAATGTGAAATTGTAAATAACATACGTAGATTGTTTTTTATTATTTTATGATATTAGATTATTGATGTGTATCATTTTCAATGTGATGTAATTTTTGATTATTAATAATAAAACTAATATAATATAATATATTAATTATTATTATAATATATTAATTATTATAAATAATAATTAAATAATATAATAATATAATAAAAATAAAATAATATAATATAAAATAATATAATATAATTTAATAAAATAATAAAATTTATATCTATATGTTTGTGCAATGTAATATTTGAATATTTAAAATTGATTTGAATTATTATTTTATTTTTATAAAATTAAAAGAGACAAAATATAATTATTATCATAAAATATTGGTAAATTATTAGTAAATTAATTATTAAATTATTTATAAAATCAATAAAATTAATAATTTCATAAATTATATTGAATTAATCGATATAATAATTAATTGATATTAATAGTAAAAATATAAATTATTTAATTATAGATAAATTATTTATAATATTAATTAAATTATTAAACGATATTAGAAATTAGAATAATATTATATAAATTCGAAATATTTCCTTTTCGCGCAATGTTATTATCGACACAACGCGTGACTTTGCCCGCCGAGCCACAGTCGAGTGGTGGGGGGGCTCAGTTTCGTTTCGACTTTCGTACGGCGTAGTCGCGTCGCAACGACACGCGATCGATTTTATACATTATTTAAAATTGTACACGTGTTTTTTAAGTATTTTAAAGTGTGCATATTGTATTCGCGAGTGTTTAAAGTACGTATATTGCATTCATGTCTCGACTTTCGTACGGCGTAGATATATTGCAACTATGATCGATTTCATACATTATTTAAAATCGTACAGGTGTTTTTTAAGTATTTAAAGTATGCACATTGTATTCGCGATTGTTTAATGTATATATATATTGCATTCTCGAGTATTTTAAAGTACGTATATTGTATTCGCGACTGTTTAAAGTGCGTATATTGTATTCACGATTGTGTTAGAATACGCGCGTTTATTCGTGAGTGTCGATACGTTTCATCTTTGCAATGGTGGATCGAGAAGGTAGTAACTAGCACGAAGTTATCTACGAACGGTAAGTCGCATTTTGATACAGGTGGTTGATTTATTTTTTTTAAATATTTCTTTAAATATATAAAGAAAATAATTATTTCTAATAATTGTGTACAATAATATTCATTTCTTATTTGGTTTTGTTATATTCTTTTTTTTTTATTAATGATTTACAATATTTGATAAAATATATTAATGTAATTTTGTCATCATTTGTATATATTTTTGCTTTTCCAATCTAATTTAGGTCTTGTTATACATCGTAAATGTTCCATAAACTTTAGAAAATGTTGTCATGAATATTTGTTTTCTTGGGCGTTGTGATAATTGCGCAATTCATTTCAAAGAGATCAGACTTTCTTCAGGCAGTGCTCGTTAATTTACATTTTATCTCGGTATTTAGTTTCTGTGTTTCTATGTTGCTTCATTAGGATTATTACGTCCTTTTTAATCGTGATAAACATAACAAACGCGTCTGATTTCTGTAAAAAAAATTTCGCGAAGTAGAAATGTATATTGTTATCTGAAATATTTTTTTTTTTTTGTTATTTGAAAAATTTTCTTGTAATTCTTAAGATCAAAAAAAGAGAAATTCAATAATTTTTCATGTGGAATTTCTTTTTCTCTCTCTTTTTTTATGTAATTCTTTCACTTATAAATAAAAATCTTTTAGAAATATATGAGTCTGATGAATAAATTTATGAAAATTTATTTATCAGATATAATATGCATATTTAATTATATAATTTATATGTCATATTATTTTATTATTGAATTATTTTATGTAATATTAAAAATTTCAATCATAAATGAAACATGTTTATATCCTATATGGCATATTTTATCTAATTATATATACATATACTTCCAAATTGCCAAAAGGATTAAGAGAGAGAATGGAAATGTAAAATAATTTGTTGAAATAATAATACGTAGTATTCTAGAAACGAGCACGGTTATATAGATAAATAAATTAAAGGAAATTGCGGATAAGTTAAAAGAATAAAGCATATATAAGCTTTAGCTTTCGCTTTTCGGGATAGAGTATTTTAAAGAAAAATTTTTTTTTAAAATTTCATTTCTTTCCTCACATTTTTTTCTACCATAGTATCGTGTTAAATTTTGAAAACAATAATCACAATACGATAATCGAAAGATTTTCAAATTATTTTCTCCATTATCAAAAAGTTATAAAAAATTTTTATTAAATTCTTGTCTCTTATTTTCAAACTTAAAATAAATTTCATTTTTTCAAAAACTGTATTGAATATTTAAAATTTCATAGAAAGAAATTACATATGAAAAGAAATTAAAATTTTTTTCAAATCTAAAATCAGGAAATAGAAAAAATTATTATAGTTATTATAGTTATTTAGTTTAGTTAATTATTATAGTTTTTATTTTATCTCGACATTTCGTAAGAGTTTATAATATGTTTAAGATAATGGAGAAATTATGAATGAATCTTTCGTTTATTCCTGGAAATACATACATTCTTCTAGAAATAAACCAGAAACTCGCATCTATCGTGATCAGTTTATTTAAAGTGTGGGATAGGTTAGTGAGATACAAACAAAAGATTTGAGTATCCAATAAGAACGAAGATAATAAACGATTAAAATTATCTTACATTTTTTATCTACGTCTTTCTTAATCTCCATTTAACCGTATCACTTTCTTATCATTATTTTACGCGACAATATCTCGGGAATTGGAAGTCGTATCGGGATAAATCAAATTGCGTTTTAAAGAATACGATTCCATTTTTTTTTTAACGATCTTTCATCCATCGATCTGGAATGATTATCTTTAAAATTATAACAGTTCAAGTTTTTTTTTATTTTAATAATTTTTTTCTCGAATTATAAAATGAATTACATACGTTCATTTCCAATAATATTAAAGCTATTTTATTTACGTTATATGTAAAAAAATTTACACAAAAATCTATACACATACGTATCTATACATAACATTTAACTTATTTGAACGATCGATTTTAAATTGGCAGTGAACGATGTAAATTTTCTTTCATCTTCTCTGTATCATCCTTCTCCTCCGATAGAAGGAACAGAAATGTCGTAATCACGATTTAAGCCTGGAAATATTTCTTATTTTTTTTGATGATCGCCATTGTTGTATCCCAACTTGAAGAAATCTTTCAGCACTACGTTGAACGTTACGGTAACAATACCCTCCACTCTCATGCGCGTGACTGCAATTATAAAACGAGTTATTACACTCGGGTGGCGGGGAATAGGCAAAACATCAGGTGCGCATAGCTTCTCGGCCATAGTTTATGGCGTCTGGGAATCGTGGAAAATAAACCGTGTTTCTGAGGCGCAAGTGCTTCCATTCAAACCACTTTATTCCGCGTTATTCTTCAGAATCGCGAAAATCGTAAAAATATTCGCGACGATTTCTCGACCCATAAAATTCTCCTTGTCCCGATGTAATTAAAAAGTGGACGAAGATTTTTATCGGAATTATTCTCTTATTTTATTATTTTATTTATTATTATTATTTTTTTTAATGATATCTTCGAATATCGTTGTCATGATAGAGGATAGATTTTGATAGTTTTCACGCAGATGATAGTTAGATTGAAATATATTTCACGAAGATAAGACTTGTTAATAAATTCTCGCGCGTGAAATCGGCGGTGAAAATTCGAAAAATTCGATTTATAATGCTCGAAATATTTATCTCTATCATCCGAATTCTCCATTTTACCAAATTTTCCTAAACTTTTTTAAAAATTGTATAAAATATAAAAGCCATTCAACCAAATTTATCCAAAGAAACACCCCTTTTATCCTTCGAACCTCGTTGCAAACCAAGCATTTACCAAGAAAAAAAATATACCACAAATACGATCAAAAATTCGATAAAATCGGAAGAGAATTCCTTGCAACGCCAACGAGAGAAAAAAAAAAGAAAAAAAGAAACTCACCACCGTCCAAAAAAGCAAATAACCCCGGGGCAAAAATTCTCATCGATATAATGCCAAAGGAGACAAGCCCACGTTCGACATTTTCAAAGAGGAAAAACAGTGCATGGCCGAATCTTGGTAACAATTGATATCAGCAAAGTTGGACGTATCGATTAACTCGCGTCACAGATTCTCTCACCAAAGAGAGTGAGAGAGAGAGAGAGAGAGAGAGGGAGAGAAGGGCAGTTTAATTCCTTCCTGTCCGCGAATACGGAAATGTGTACGTTGACACAGCCGACGTATATCGAATCCTGTCCTTAATACTTCGAATCTTTGCAAGTTCAATTAATTTAACGTCAGTGGGGATAGCCATCAGGATGAGATCTGGAACGTGGAAACTGAAAGTGGCTCGAAATATTGCCTTACGTTCTCTACCACCACCCGTGGCCAATATCGTTGGATCAATTAGTTCTGGCCTTCTTCCGGTTAACCAGGCTGCGAAACGTTGCAACATCGATGAAGATTCTGGCACGTAGACGGATACCCTGCAAGAAATTTCGTCGTTGTTTTCATCGATGCTCGTCACTGGCGAAATGCTTGGACTGGCTAATTAAACTAGCTTGGGGGTGGTGGCTCGATGTTTGCCAGGTGGCTCGAGATTGCTCGAGATACGACGTAATAATTATCCGAATAATTAGGTGGGGCCCCCATTCTGGTAAATAGTTCGAGGTGTTCGAACGGATATAGATATTCGAGGGGGTGTTTGAAATTTGATAGGAAGATTTCGAAGTGAATATAATTTGGGAATATAATTTCGAGAATTTGGAATGTGTTTGTTTTGGGAGTAAGTTTCTGGATTGAGTTATTTGTGATTTTTAGGGGAGGTTTTGAGGTATTTAGGGGAGATTTATTTGTTTTGCGCGAAGGATGATTGTATTTGAAGATTATAGAGAAGATAAATCGTGGCTTTTTTTTCTTTTCTTTTCTTTCTTTTTTTTTTTCTTTGGGATCGTAAAATTATTGTTCGATGATCATCGATTCACTTTATTTAAGACTGTTTTTATTTGGTCTTGGAATTAGGTCCTACATTTCAATTTTTCGATCTTCTTATTTTTGATAGAAACTGATTCTTTAAAAATATTCCAACAAAGAAACAATTCGATAGAGAAATCGTGGAAAATTTTAGTTTATTTTTATCGTGAAATTGATAATCAAAATTCCTGTTTAATTTAAATTAAAATTAATGAAAGAATTTCATAAAAAATATAAATGTTTTAAACTATATTTTAAATTTTTAATTTTAAATTTCCAAATTTGACTCTATAACTCATTCCTTTTTCAAACATTATTTTCGTAAAATTGGATAAATCCAGGAAATTATTAAATATACATGTCTTCTTGACAATATCACATTGAATAATTCAACTCTAACTAAATTATTTATTTCAAGATAGTTTTCTCTTGAAGCTATCTTGATTTAGCTACCAAATAATAAGTTAAAAAAATTAGTAGGCACGATGCATACATAGGTTTTTGATGATGATCTTCATTTATCTCTTAGATTGAAATATCGTTAATTGATACACCGAGGTGTGGCAATAAGTAATAAATAACACGGTGTTAAATTTCGCTGTGAAATAATAAAGAGTGGTTATAATCTAATACCTTTTCTCATGGTGACCTATTTTCAACGGCAAATGACACACTCCATATCCTCTGATGACGTCGTGGCCAAAGACATCCAACCCATAAACAGACAATATTAACTGGGGCCCTAGAATTTTATATAGAGAATAGATAAAGGATTTTTACATTTTATTTTTCAGTTTTATTAAGAGAATTTTTCAATATTATTAGGATTTTTTTTTTTTTATTCCAAGTATTTTTCATTCATAGTATTCTCATTCGTGTTTAGTTAGAGTTGACAGCATAGCGTGGGTGGCTTAGCATAGAAAGTAAAAAAAAAGTTGACATAACGTTTTCAAATATTTCACGTCGTATTTCAAGTTTATAATTTTTAGTGTAAATTGAATTATAAAGAATGGAAGGAAGAGAGATGGCAAAATTTCTTTTTTTCAAATTATTTATAACAATTAATCTTCTTCTTTTCCCCATTCTGATTTTTAATTTCCAATATGTTAATCTATGCGTCAATTCGACAATGAATTGTTTATAAATTAAAAAATAATGAATTTTATTTTACTTTAAATTTATTTGTAATTTTAATTTTATCTTTGCATATCTTCTCTGTATTCAATTATAACAACCCATAAATATGAATACAACCTATTTGTTCAGCAAACAAATTAAAGGAGAGAATTTATGATATTTTATTACAAATTTCAACGAGACAAATCCTCGAATAACATAAACGGAACAACAAAAAATATAAATAAATAACATTACATCGGATCGAAATTTAATACCGAAGCTTTGCCGAAAACAAATATAAAAAGAAAAAAATAAAAATGTACGGTTTTAAAAAATAGAATGCGAAATATCTCGCGCGGCCAAGCGTGAAAACGTTCAAACAAATCAAGCATCGACTCACATCCATAGGGATTAGTACTCTTGAACGTGACTTCCAGCGGGAAATTCCAAACTGCCAGATTTCGCGGGTCATCGCTGCACTTGCATATCTGTGTCAAACCCTCCTCAATACCCTGGATGGAATTTTGCACAAGTCAGTGGCCGATCGACGGTTAAAATCCCCTTTGGAATCACATCGACGTCGATGTGACTCCAGTCGTGTCAAATGACTAAACAAAATAACTCACCGCGACCACGCTCCATTCCGGGCCAAAGTGAAATCCATATTTGCAGTAGGCGTTGTCGATGTCGTAAAATTCCGCGTATTCGATGGATCCTGTGATTGAGAGGAAAAATTCACCCTCGATCGACATGACAGGATTACGCGACGAGGATCGATTTATTTAATTTATTATATTTATTTAATTTATTTTTATCACTTCGAATACGCTGAACGTTTCCCCGGGATAATTAATATATCGATATCCACGATATATTTTATTCGAGGAATAATAGAGGAATAATAATAAAGATAATAGAATAGGTTTAGTATTCGCGATTATTTTATTTTATTTTAAATCCATAAGTTTTTTTCTTTTTTTTTTTTTATTTCAGAAAAATTTCTGCACTGCGTTAAATATTTCACAATATTTTGTTTTACATTTATTTTATTTTGCTATATTATTCACTATATTTTTTATTTAGAAAATGTTTTTTTTAAATTAACTTAGATCTATGATATTTTTTTTTTTATTGTTACGTTAATAAATTCGCGATGTTTATTTTAGATTCATTATATTTATTACCACCGTAAATAATGTAGATCCGCGGATTATTTTTTTTACTTCGGGATATATATTCTAATTTTTTTTAAAAGCTGCGATATTTTTAGAAAATTTCTAGGGATAGAAATTGGATTAAATCTAATTTTTTTCGAACAGTGTTATAACCTTTGAATGGAAAAGAGACTAACAATAGGTTTATTTATGCTGATGGACGTTTTGTGTACGGTTAGGCGAATCGGTCGTCCTGGTAACGAAGCATGCGCCTCGATTTTGTGTAACATGTGGTTCATTTTAACGGTGAAAAGATGTAGATAATATGGAATATTCTCTTTTAGTAGTCAGGAAAGCGTCAGTCATGTTATCTAATATAACAGCTTTCATTATTCAGCTAAACTCTATGTTGACGCGATATTAAATATTTGGAGAAATTGAGGAGAATCGTGAATCGAGGAAATGAGGATGGAAAATAATTTTTAGGTGTGCAATTTGATGAATTAAATTTAACATCGTCGAAAATGTAGAAAAGAGAAGGTGAAAGACAGATGACGATATACGCATGAATCGATATAATGATAAAATAAGATTTTATAAATAAAAAATTACGTTTAAGGAATAAGGAGTCATATTAGAATAGAAAATTAAATATGTAAAAATATCAAAGCAATTCTACTTTTAAAAGTAGAAAAATAATTTCTTTTCGGTAGTAAAAAATTATACAAGTTGATATTGAATTTTTATAAAATATTTAGATTTTACTATTATCTATTAAATATTTTTAATAATATTTAAATATACATAATTTAAATATTTTAGCTTACGACTGTGAAATCTAAATATTTTTATAATAGTAAAATAATTATGCTATAATGATATTTGATGAAAATTTTTATTGTTTATTATTTTTTTTTTTTCGATATAAATTTTGTTTTTATATTTAAATATTTTCATGATCAATTATATAATTACAGATGTTCCAGACTTTGTCACGGCGCATGCTTGGATCTGATTATCATCGATAGATCGTCATCGGGAAAAACATTGTCATAGATCATACGTTGCTATTAAATAATCGCCAGTTTTAACATGGATCTTCTTGGATCTATCTTCATCTTCTATAAAAAGGGGTAAGTTGTTTTTTATTTATTATTTTAATTCATTAAAATCAGAAATTAGTTTATATTGATTTCGAGGTTAGATGAATTTATTGGACACAGTGATTTATTTAGAGTTTTAGAAATTTTTTTAATATTTATTTTTTATAGTTTTTTCAAAAATTCTATTCAATAAAATAATTAAATTCAAATTATTTTAAACAATGTTTTGATATCTTTGATATTTCTTCTATTTTTTTTTTTTTTTCGTTTTAAGAAATGTTTTTGATAATTGAAATTTAAGCAATCATTATTTTAAAATATTTTATTGAAAATTAACATAGTATTACATTAAAATTTCATTCGTTGTACTTCAATTGCAATTATGATTTTATAACTCTTTTGAAAAAAAAATAGTTTTTCTCTTTATCAGCAAACGATAATAACGAGACAAATTATTTATTATTTTTATAAAAATTGATCATAAATATTTGAAAAAAAAAAACTATTTCCACTTCAATTTTTCCAAAATCAAAGATACCATTGAAATTATATAATTATATAAGAGTACATCGAATGAAAATGATAAAAAATTTTCTTCATCGATATTAGGCGGGAAAATCACGTTCGATATTGCATAAAATAAACGAAACAACGATATTATTCGCTCCAGAAAAATTTTTTATTTCTTTCTGATGCAATAACAACGAATCTTACATTCGATGGTATCAGTCGTATCTAGAAAATATTACAATCGTGACATGTTCTACACTACGAACGATGTAATATGTACAGAAGATTCTGTCGAACCAGAACGAAATTCATGCCCGATAAGAAGACGTGCAATCTCGACGTGCCATCGTCGGGGCTGTACACGATTTTTTAAAAATGAACACACAACGGCACGTGCGAGTTGCATTGTCTTCCTTATCGGCAGATGAAAATTTTGCGTTTTTTACGAAACACAGAATCTTTCAACGCGTGATTTTCAACAGGCGTGATACAAGTGCGTAACAATGTCTAAAGAATGATACGATCCATTCTTTTCTAAGATAAACTGACGTTAACTAGAAAATTGGCTAGATTATTCTTCGCGTTTCCACTCAGGCTCGGTTCATCACGGTTGTTGTTCTCTTCCATTCGTTATCTTACGACGAATATTACGAATTTTATTGAGGTATTGATCAACTCACACCAAAATATCTGGCATGACAGCACGTTCTTCTCTCCTCTTCTTTCTTTCTCGTTTTTTAAGTAACTTATTCGTCGATCGCCATGTCGATCGAAACGACGATCGAAGCGCCCTCATCTTGACGAATATTTTACGTAAATCTAACTGGAAGATTGGTGTGTTATATTGTATCCATTCTTAGCATCGATATCGATAAACACACAATTAACTACGAGATCGTGCACGTTTTCTCGAAAATGTGAAATTTCTTCGATGAACGAACGCGATTACTGTCCACTGGCAATCTCCTTCATACGATTTAGAGCTGAACCTGCCTTGAACCAGGAAATTTGTTGCTCGTTCAAGGTGTGATTTAACGTGATTTTGTCCACTTTGCCATCCTTGTGTTTGATTTCTGCTTGAACGGACTGTAAAAAGAAAAAAATTAGGATTAGACACGACTTGTTGAACGTGTTAGGACAGAATAGAATCTTTTGATTGGAAATTTGATCGTTAGCCAAGATTTTTATTTTATTCTAGAAAGGATATGGATTAAAATTATTGCATAGGAACTAAGGATAGGAATAAGGATTGCCTCATATCCTTGAATACTTGAATGGAATGCACTGATGATAGTTATATTAATATTAGATATTTTTAATGTTTCTTGATCGACTATATATGGATGACAAATTTAAATTCAAATATATTGCGTTGCATATTATATAGCGGGAAAACTAAAATAAACTAGAAATAGAATAACAATACAGAAAAACATTAAGGATACAGGATGTTTCGTACGAGAAGTTTATATGAAAAGAATGAATAGTAATTATGAATAATGATTAAATCATTGTAATCTATAGGAAAATCTAAATGGCTGTCTTATTTTCATCGTGAAAGATAATTAAATCATTAATGAAAACGTACTTTTCCAGGTGCCAAATCCTTTAATCCAAGAAGGCTGATCTTATCTGTAGGTTGAATCTTATCGTAATCACTAGCATTGGCAAAGGTGAGAGGCAACAATCCTTGTTTCTTCAAGTTGGTCTCGTGGATACGGGCAAAGCTCTTTACGATAATGGCACGGCCGCCTAAATGTCTCGGTTCCAAAGCTGCGTGTTCTCGGGACGAACCTTCACCGTAGTTTTCGTCACCAACTGCTACCCATTTGACGCCATTTTTCTTGTAATGTCTGGCAACGTCCGGAACTTTACCCCACTCACCAGTAAGCTGGTTCTTTATTTTGTTCATTTCACCATTTTCTGCATTCACAGCTCTACAAAATTTGTCGAAATATATATTTAAATTGGAATAATTGAATTGAAATAATTGAACGTGAAAGAAAGATCTTCAATCTTCAAATTTTTAAAATTTACCCGATGAACATATTGTTCGAGATATTGTCCAAGTGGCCACGATATTTCAGCCATGGGCCAGCAGCCGAGATGTGATCGGTGGTACATTTTCCTTTTACCTTGATCAAAACGGTCAAATCGGTGAGATCTTTGCCGTCCCATTTGTCGAATGGCTCTAATAATTGCAATCTCTCGCTCTTCGGGCTCACGTCGACTTTGACAGTGCTGCCATCTGCTGGAGGAGCGTCATAAGTGTCTTGGCCAGGGTCAAAACCACGGCTTGGAAGTTCATCACCTGGAATAATAATGGATTTTTGAAAAAATTTAAATATTAAAATTAATTGAACATTTGAACAATTTGAATATTTTTTATATTGTTTCTGAAACATTGAAACAATTTTTTGAAAAACATTTTTCTTCTTTCATTATTAAATAATCAAAATTAAATAAATACAAGAAAAAAAGTTCCAAGAAAAATAATGTTCGAAAATTGTCACTATGTAAAAAATACATTGTGAAATATTTTATAAATTCACTACATAAACGAGTTTTCTTCGAAGAACGTACTTATCATCGAAATAATTGTCTCAAGCAAAGATACGGAAGAACTTTGTTCTTTCCATAAAAAAATAAATAAATAGATTCACGAATTTTTTATCAATCTCTCGCTGTTTGTCCATGAAATAATCTCGCAAAATGAAATAATTACATCGTTTCTTCTCATCTTCAAATTGAATTAAATAATTTCAGAAACAAAAATTATATCAAATATTTCGTAATCTGATTCAATCCTCGTTAAATAAATAGTAAAATTAAATATAACGTTGTAAATAGCCAACGTTTCATTCAATATCAAAATCATATGCAGACATATTGATTAACTCATTATAAAATAAATATCACAGGTTGTGACTCATGTTTAACTGTCTGCAGACTAATAAAAAAAAAAAAAAAAATCAAATAGAATTCCATTTATATAAATTTATTAATGAAAATCCATTTAATGAATCCCTAATCAGCCACGATTTTGAATTATTCTTGACTAATGAATTAATTCTTTACTTGAATATTCATGCAGTTCGTGGTTCAAGTTCAAGATAATTAGACCATTGTTTAAAATTTATCTCACATAATAAGGTAAACAATGGAATATTTGTAATAAAATAATTAACGAATACGTCCTATTTACCGAACGGATCTTTAAGAAGGAATTCCTTTCCATCCTTGGCCTTGAGCTTATCGGTAACCGGATTAAAGTCCAATCGGCCAGCGAGCGAAAGAGCAGTGACGAGTTCAGGGCTGGTGACGAAAGCGTGTGTCGCGGGATTGGCATCGTTTCGACCCGTGAAATTACGATTGTACGATGTGACGATCGTGTTCTTATCACCCTTCTTGATGTCTTTACGATCCCATTGACCGATGCAGGGCCCACAAGCGTTCGCCAACACGGTGCCTCCAAATTCTCGAAGAATCTCGGCCTAAACGAAAGGACCTTAAGTTGCTTAAATGGTAATTTTTTCAAATAATTTTATTGTATTAACGATATATCGATTTTAAAATTTTGCAATATTGTAAATTAAGCATTTTTAATATCTCTTCTTAGCTCTACTCCCCTTCGTAATATCTAGAATTTTTCCAATATGTTTTAATATTATTCCGTTTTGTAAACTTGGCCAAATTTTAAAACGCATCTTAATCGAATCGATCTCATTGTCATCCAGTGATCCCCCGATCACGAGAATCGACAAGTCACTATTTTTTCCCTTTCCCATTGTCAAAATACATCGAAGCCAAATTAAGAATTGGCGTGGGTCGCGTAATTTGTTTCTAAGCGACATGTACCAATGTCTGGCACGGGTTCAAAGTAACTGTGCAACTGTTCCACCCGATCCTTATACCAAAGCATCGTTCTAGAAATATACGTATATACTCACTATTCCGTCGCGTTCGATCGTGGCACGAATTTGTTCCGAACCTGGCGTGACATTGAACGCCGATTTCGCTTTTAGTCCATTATCGATGGCTTGCTTAGCGATATTAGCGCAACGACCCATGTCCTCGTAAGAGCTGTTCGTGCAGGAGCCGATCAGGCCGACCTTGATCTCGTTAGGCCAGCCATTCTTCTTGGCAGTTTCACCTGGTTGGAATTAGTGCAAATGATGCGAGCTTAGCTTTTCTTCCTTTCTTAAATTCTTTCTTTCAATTTTATCTCTTTTCTAAATTACCTCTTGTAACAAAATTTATATACCAGGAAAATTTTAACTAACTTCCAATTCTTCAAGTTATTTCGCAACGAAGAAGTCGATTAATTGATATTACAAGAGGATCCATTAAGTTTAAGAATTAAAAGAAATAACTTGGATGAAAATTCAATTCAATTAGATTACTCACCCAATTTAGAAATGGGATGAGCGAGATCGGGCGTGAACGGCCCGTTCACGTGTGGCTCCAACGTAGAAAGATCGAGCTCGATGATCTGATCGTATTTAGCGTTGGCGTCGGCAGTGAGAAGGCTCTTCCTGTGTAGATCGGCCGCGTTTGCGATCTCGGATCGTCCAGTTGCCCTCAAATAATCCTGCATACGAAAGTTGTACGGGAAGATGGATGTTGTGGCGCCAATCTCGGCGCCCATGTTGCAAATGGTCGCCATCCCAGTGCAACTTATGCTCTCGACACCTGGCCCAAAGTATTCCACGATGGCCCCGGTTCCTCCTTTCACCGTCAGGATACCGGCCACCTTGAGAATGATGTCCTTAGGACTCGTCCATCCTTTGAGGGCCCCGGTCAGTTTCACGCCTATCACTTTGGGGCATTTCAACTCCCACGGTATGTTGGCCATCACGTCCACGGCGTCAGCCCCACCTACACCGATGCAGAGACAGCCCAAACCGCCGCCGTTCGGCGTGTGGGAGTCGGTGCCGATCATCAGCAGACCTGGAAATGCGTAATTCTCGAGGATGATCTGATGGATGATACCGGAACCAGGGTTCCAGAAACCGACGCCGTACTTGGCACCGGCCGTCTTCAGGAAATTATAGACTTCCTTGTTGATGTCCTTGGCGCGTTTCAAATCTTGCTCGCCACCCACTTGGGCCTCGATCAAGTGGTCGCAGTGGATCGTCGAGGGTACGGCGACTTTTGGCAGTCCTGCGAGGAGAATTTAGAATTTTCGGTAAAATATCGAGCATATTTTGCGTGGTATTATGTAGCAGACAGTGCAATTTTGTTATTTCTCGAAGTTTAATGTAACAAAGAAGAATTAAGGATTCTTTTTCTATTTCTAGAGCAGAAGGCTTTATTTATTTATTATCCGATCCACAATCGTTGAAAAATTCGTGAAAAATTTTCATAAAGTATCTTATTGTCGCGTACATAATTAATTCTGATAATTCTGATAATTCTGTTGCTACGTGCTAAAAAAAAAAATATTATAGGAAGATAAACGATTGTATCATTTATCTGCTGTTAACTGGAGGTTATAAATAAATATAAAACAGCGTAAAATATAACAGCATATAAAGATCGAAGCAGAGCGAAATACAAAATATTTGAAATTGCACTTGAACTGCCATTCAACTGTTTGATATTGGAATACTCGTAAAGTTAGTTCATCATTAAATTACTAATATATTTTTCACTATACCGGAGCTGATAAATTGCAACATGGCCATCTGAGCAGTGGCATCCTGCATAGCCACTCGATCTGGTCGCAATCTGAGATAAGTGGTTCCACGTTGGATTTCCTGCTTGTCGGGTTCATCGAGATGAGAATATAAAACTTTTTCGGACAACGTCAGTGGCCGGTTCAATCTGGAACGATTTTATCACACGGTCGATTAAGAAATCAAGAGTAAATAAAATACCTTGGACAGAGAGGATAAATATAATTATACTCGCCTCTTTCTCACTACTTTTAATTTCTCCTCCAACTTGTCGTAAGGGAGATAACTAGTCGAATCGAATTTGGACATTGCCACCTTTTGGGCGGCAAAACTCAAGGCGCTCGCGCTGAAACATCTTTGCTGGATGTCTGTCACGAATATCGCAAGTTTCTGAAAAAAAAAAAAGATTGGTAATTAATCTTTCCAATATAATCTTAAATATTTATATATAGTATATCTTTCAATCGAAAGTAAAAATTGAACTTTAAATTTTAATAAGTCAACATTAAAAAGAAAATATTTCAAGAGAAAAGAGAAATTATATATTTATAAATATATATTTATATATTTATTATTTATATTAAATTAATAGATTAAATTTATGACAATATAAATTCAAATACTCGTTGATCGTATTGTACACAATTTTCGATATGCTTCACACCGACGCGTGTACAATCAGTTTTTGTTAATATCAATTTCGCAGATAAGTCGAACATATTCATAAATAAACCTAACCAGAAATTTATATTAGTCGAATCGTTATATTTTGATTTATATTTCATATTTAAGTATAACGATTTACTAAACATTTAATGATAACTGAATAATTAAAATACTAGAATTGTTTTACTATGTGTCTATTAGCTTGTTACGTATAAGTATGTACACGTAACGTAATAGTTGCGAATATATATACAAATATATATTCATCATACATACAATATCAGTTACGTAATTCTATTCTAACATAGACAAAGATTTTTTTTCATCGTGATCCTGAAAATTCTGCGACGAAAAAACAAATATTTCGAAAAAGAAGAAATAAAAGATCGGACAACGTGTATTTTTCTTATCTTGTTTACACGTTTTTATCACACGACGAATTATCGAAGCTTGCCGTGAAAATAAGAGGATCAAATTACCGAACGATGCATATTTTCCATTCATCTTTACCCGCCATGCACGCCAAACACTCCTGCGCAATGGCCGCGGACCTAACCTCCAATTTTCTCAAAAATATACCCAATATATGAATAGTAACGTCGAAACAGATTATGTAACGCGTCGTATATCTTTCAAATCGTCTCATTCCTATAGATCATCCGTGCACAATTATCACCGCGTCGCAATTTTTCTTAAGGAGTAGCCAAACTTCTCCAGAACCGCCATTATTTTAAAATAACATAACCGAACGTTTATCGAAAAGCATCGCAATTCTCGACTCAACTCAATAAAAATCGTCGTCAAATTCTCTTCGAACGTGTCAGAACAGAAAGATGTAACGCGATATCACTTAATTGAGATAATCGCAGGAACAAAGTGGTGCAGATAACGATTAATTACACGAGTCTGGTCACTGGAGATTATTGCTCTCTTGGAGTTGTTAATTAAATCAAATTAAAAACGTATTATTATGGTTATTCCAATTAATGATCGACCTATCCACCACTTAAACATGACACGATCGACCTTGATAACGGGGTCAAGCGGTCAAAATTATGGATGGATCGTAGAATGTTATTTATTTATTTATTTATTTATTATTCTCAAGTTATCGATATCGTTTTATACGGAGAAGTGATGGAGCATACCTGATCCCGAAGGATTCGGGTGCAGTACGACATTATGCTGGATGAAGATTCAGCCTCCCGATGACGTTGCGACTCGTGAAACGAGGTTTATAGGTGGAGGGAAGCGCAGGCGTGTGACAAAGAGGAGCGAAAAATCGCGTCTCGTCTCGTGGCAGTCCTTCTCAAACCGGCCACTAGAGAACTGAGTGAAATTCTGCTCGGCTTTCTCGTGTCAATGCTGCGGGGCCACGCATGCGCCCCTTTCTATATTTGAATACGAATTTTCTGAGAACGACTGGCTGGCGCCTCCGCTATATAGATACGTTTCACGAACAGACGTTTCATGACACTTTCGAGCAACCAATCGGAGTTTTGGTTGATCGGATCGTAACAGCTGTTCATTCAGCTCGTCACGGCGCAGATGCCGTTAAAGTACAGTTTGGTCAATTCAAATTCGTTGTACGAACGATAGATTCGTCGAAGAGAGAGCTAGAATTGGGCAAATTTTGTCGAGACACAGAAGAAATAATGAAATGAGGAGCGTTGAGATTTTGTTTGGATTTGAAATTTGCGAAGGATAGAAGTGTGGTAATAATTTTTGAGAAAATTCTGTGAAAAATAAATATTATAATAATACGCATAATATTCAAATGAAATTTTTACTTGTAATTGGAAATGAAGTCGTAAAAGTGTTCGTGGTTACAATTGAAAAATAATCGACGATTGTGTATGAAAGTTTCAGTAGAATCGATGCAATCTAGAAGAATTTATTGGGTCAATCATTTTAAATTGATCTATAATACACGTCTATATATAAATCATTTGTAAATTACTATTGTTTTCGATCTTTCTTTAACACTGATCGTCCTTCTCTTTTTAGTGATGTTTTATTGATCGAAATGTACTATAGTCAAGTTTAGTAGATAGCAGCGCAGCGAGTGTTATTAAATGGAACTTATAACTTGTAATTCAAAGAATTCCCTATAGAGGGCAACTAAGTCTCTATTAATCGATCAAACTTTGAGATGGATTTCGATACGTGGGAAATTTAAAATTGATTTCGCTTCGATATTTTAATATAATTTTAAGTTATTAAATTTTTCAATTAATTTAAGATATTAAAATAAAAAAAATATAAATCAAGATGAGAATGATAAAATAGATGTGAATTTAAATATAAATTTTACAAGAAAGATTGCTTTGTTATTATTCAATTAATTATTTATGAAAATAAATAATAAAAAATTTTATATAATAAGGCCTGAAGAATGAGTTTAATGGAGCAATTGTTTCAACATTCTTGCTACCTAATTCTTGCTACCTAATTCTTGCTCCAATCAACGTTATTTTTATTTGCAACGTCATATCAGTTTATGAGTCTCTTCGATGTCAACAATTGCAACATACAAATGCACTTGTACTTGAACATTGTACCATATATATCGAAATATCTTATGAAGAATAAATCATAATTCTGACATAGTTAAATATTATATTACGCGTTAAATAATTTCAGAACAATAACAATTAGTTTCATCATCATAAAAATGTGGCACGCGCTTGGAAAATACGCAAAGATAATGCTCCAGATTACTTTTATCTATCGATATAATTTCGTTGTCAAGAATTGTCGTAAGAATTCCAGTTCAGAATTGAAAGATAATAATTCGAGGAAAAAATTTTTAATGAACAGACCAGAAATTTATCATGCATAACGCAATTTCACGAAACAAAGAAAATTTTAAATTTTAAATTTTAAATTTCTATTGAATACAAGTATATAGTATATTAAAATATACTAAGCTTTAATAATTATCTCTTTTACAGAATATTAATTCTTGATGCAAAATATAGTGATTCATAAATAAATATACTCAGAAGAAATACACACATTAAGATAAAAGTTATAAATAGATAGAAGAAACTGGTTTCTACGACAATTGTAAAAATTCATCGTAAACTCTTAACGAATTTTTACATTTTCTACATTGTCAACAATTTTTTTCCCACAAAATTTATTTTCTAAACGAATGAACATCATCATCAAGTCTATAAAAATTTTACTGTTAAAATTAACAAATTTTCAAGTAAATCAAATCTGTCACTTTTAACTCCTAATATAATTAAATAAATAAATTAATAAGTGACTCCAAATATTATTTAATTATATAATTATATAACATAATTAATAATAAAACATAACATAATATAATTACTCTGAAATTTTTAATTCGTATCTCGAATATATCTTCAACATTCAAAACGATATTGCACAAATCATTCGTTATCGTAAAAATATATTCCAAAACTCAAAAATCTTCAGTAGATCGATCGATTAAATCGCTTTATTAAAAAAAAAAAATCATAATCCTCGTAATAACCCGCATAATATTCTATTTCCAGATGAATATCAAACACGTCTCGCCTAATCTAATCGATCACAACGACAATAATGATCGAAAAATCACTTTTGCCTTCACTTTTGCCGGGCATGGCCGCCACGTTTACTCTCTCCAACCCGAATCTGGAGTACGGAGGAAGGAATAAAAAACGAAAGTGGTCGCAGAGGTAGAGGGATTCGGGCAAAGGGATAGGCTTTTGCAACTCGTCACCATGGAATTTGCGAATGTCGATCGAGTTGATAACTCTTGATGACGATCTTAAGATCTCGACCTTATATCCCAGTGACGATAATGCGATTACGCGGGATCCATACGAGTTTTTTTCGCCTTGATGGCCGATCGAAAACGTTCGAGTTCGTGATATCGAGATGGACCTCGATTTCGAACGTTTGTCTGCCAGAAAATTTGGCCAGAATCGATTTGAACCGGTGATTCGATACGTGATGCACACTTCGATCGATGCATGCGTCGATGTGTTGAAATAAATATAGGGATGATATAGAAAGTTTCTTTATTGTTTTTGAGTACAACTCGACTGGTTGTATGGATGCAACTGTGATGTGGATACATTTGAACGTAATTGTAAGATTTTGCAAAGAAATTATTTAAATGAATTTTTGTATTCAAGGCCCATAATTTATTATTACACGTTGCGTTGGCTTCGATGATTATGTTATCGCGATAAAGGAATGTATTTAAAAAGAAATTTCAATGAATTGGCATTGGGAGAAAAATCCTTATATCGTTCGTCTTTGAGAGGAAATAAATGTTTTTCCTTAATTGCTCGAATATTATTCGAGGTTGAGAAGGAAACGAACGCTCATTTTTGGGAAATGAGGGCAGACACGTGGGATAAACTTTAATTACCAGAAACTGGTAATTAGACTAGTTTTAGAAATTAATTTTTCCCCTTCCGAGTGGATGAATCATCGAGAAAAAAAGTGTTGTCGACTTTGACAAGAGTTGGAGAATTCAGAAAATTCAGAAAGATATATTCCATTGTTGATGAAATTTTTTTTACAATATATAGAAAAAGAGAAAGAAAAGAATGTTGAACGATTTCTAAGATGAAATGTATAAATTAATTCTTAACTTATTGAGGTATTCTTTAAGGTATTCTTCATCTATAGAAGAAGCACTATTATTAAAATTCTGCAAAGTTTGATCATCGATTACTTCTATCTCACTACGTCAACTACGTTATAAAATCAGGTGACATTTCCATTGTTACGGTAATTGTTCGACAATCTTGCATTACACAGGGTGATCTAAATATCCATCCCACGAACAGTGTGATCGTGTTGTATTAAAGATGAGATGTGTAACACTTTTCTACGAACGCGTAGGAACAATAAATAATTCGCTTCTGAGTAGTGTGAAGTCGATAATCTGTAATACGATGATCAACTCGTAACAACTGATGTAATGTAAAATCTGAAACCTTGATATTTCGAAACACGATTGTCAATGCATCGGTATGCGCACGAATCCCTTTAATCTTTTGCAGTCAGACTTTATTGTTAGAAGAATAATAGAAATAACTTTTGAAATTATATAGAAACCAGTAATAATATGCAATTTAAATAATAAATTCCATGTGTATTAACACGCATATTTCATTAAAACTTGGAAATTTTATGAAGAATATTTCGTAAAAAAAAAAAAAGAAAAAAAGAAAAAAAGAAAAAAATTAGATATAACTCCCTATTCTTATCAGAAAATTAATAGATACCATTGGTGAAATTTTCGATAATAATATTGCGATATTTCTTCAGAAATATAAAAAAAAAATCGTTTGATCCTCAATGAAAAGAACTAACACTTATATAACACGATCCAAGTTGACAAAAATTAAGACTTGGTAAAAATGATAAAAAAGATTACCATTCACACGGATTTACTATCCGTCAATTTTATTTTTCAATCTGTTGGCGAAACCGATTGGCGAATGATAGTCTCTCCTCTTATGCAAAAGTGTTAAACTCGTTATCGTGAAACGGATGATCGAGAGAGCCGAATAAAATTGATTCACTGGCGCGCGATCGCGTAGGGTTAAGAGGGTATTATAACAAGATTATGCGAACAGGAGAGAAGGTTGAATGGGTCCTTGACATGATTAACTCTTGTTGTAGGTGGACCATGTTTCGACACGCTCGCGTTGATCCTGCCCTCCGTTGTTCCACGGACAGGATCCTTTCGTTTCCATTCCGTGGCGAACAAATTTTCTGGCAAACAAATTAGTCAATTTACGATGTAACACACTTTCGATCTTGGTCTCGTTACATGATGCGTAAGCATGCATGTTTCATGATAGTTTCGGCTCGTTTTTTCGGGATTAAAACACTCTTGAGATCGCGTAATTTTTGGCTGGCAATGATTTTTTCCCCCCCGTTTTTTTTTTTTTTTTCTTTAGCGAGGATAATAATACAGTAAATAAGAAATATTTTCGCACATTGTTGTTACGTTGTAACACACGAATATGATCGAAGTCGTAATAATTTTGAAACTGAATGGGAACTTGATTATTTCTCTTCTTTTTTTTTTTTTTTTTTAATGATTTTTTTTTATGGAATATTTAAAACTATATTGTTAAGCTTGTGTATATAAAGATATAAATCGGATAATCGAAGACACAATTTTCGAAGAGAAGAACAAGGCTTCGTTCCTCCTCTCTTTCTTAATCTCGTTCCCTCTTTTTTTCAATTTTTTTAAAGAATACCATCGAACGATACCATCGAGTTTATTATCGTTATAATAAAGATATCGCAGAATTGTGGAATCATTACATTTCTAGATTGAGATCTCCATCATTCATCTC